CGGGTTCAAGAACTATGTAGACATGACCGAGACACATCTCCTGTCAATAACCAATAGCGGAACCTGGATGCTCATATTGGCTCCTACGTATTCTACGAAGATCTTTATCGGTCAAACCGCATAACAACATACATTGTTCCCTTTGTCATCAGTATGTTACTTGCCCGAGATTCGATCGCTGGTATCCTCATACCTCGTTACCGGCAAGTCTCTTTACTCGTTCCGTAATGCATTATCCCGCAACTAACTCATTAGTCACATTGCTTGCAAGGCTTATAGTGATGTGCATTACCGAGAGGGCCTAGAGATACCTCTCCAATAATCGGAGTGACAAATCCTAATCTCGATCTATGCCTAGTCAACAAACACCATAGGAGACACCTGTAGAGCATCTTTATAGTCACCTAGTTACGTTGTGACGTTTGATAGCACACTAAGTGTTCCTCCGGTATTCGGGAGTTGCATAATCTCATAGTCATATGAACAGGTATAAGTCATGAAGAAAGCAATAGTAATAAACTAAACGATCATAGTGCTAAGCTAACGGATGGGTCTTGTCCATCACATCATTCTCTAATGATGTGATCCCGTTCATCAAATGACAACACATGTCTATGGCTAGGAAACTTAACCATCTTTGATTAACGAGCTAGTCTATTAGAGGCAAACTAGGGACACTCTGTTTGTCTATGTATTCACACATGTACTAAGTTTCCGGTTAATAAAATTCTAGCATGAGTAATAAACATTTATCATGATATAAGGAAATATAAATGACAAATTTATTATTACCTCTAGGGCATATTTCCTTCATTTCTATGTATTCTTGCATTTGTCTCTTGCATATTTGTTTCCCCTCATCTAGATGTCTTTTTCTTTGTTTTGTTCTACATTCACATCATCCAATTCATTGTAAATCTTTGTGAGATCTTATTTGCCTAGTGAGCTGAGATGAAAATTGTTCTTTCTCTGTGTTGAACTCGGACACACCGGTTTGTCTTTTTGGTCAAACCGAACCAATTCGGTGCCACCGAAGGAAACAACTCGGTGTAACCGATTTCAACGCTGAGAAGACAATTTACCACTTGCATCCTGCATAATTGATCTAGCTCCACTCGATGATTGTTCTCTACCAGCATCACACTTTATAAGTTGCTTTGCTCTGTGGCTCAAGGACCAAACCTATTTTGACTCACAATCCAGAAGATCCCTTCTTGCAAATTGATGTCGAAGGGGGAGAGAGAGCTCACATCAAAGCTTATTCCCTTAAAAAGGGGGAGAGTGCTTCAAAGGGGGAGAGTACTTAATCATATCAAACACACACACACACACACACACACAGAGAGAGAGAGAGAGAGAGAGAGAGAGAGAGACCCCGGATGCTTGGTATTCGAAAGTCACATGTCTTTAAAGGGGAAAGACATGTCAGTTTATTATTTGTTTTGCTCTAATTTTATGTTCCTATATTCTCCCATTATCAAACATAAGATTCAGGGGGAGAAAGACATCTAAGGGAAAGAAATCTTGAATTCATTGCATATCTTTTCCTTGGGGACATGTCTATATCCAATGGGAGTACCTGGTACTCATTCTCTACATGTCATCTCAGTCTTGGTACTCTTGTGGCTCTTTGGTTTGCTCTGGTTAGTAGATATCTGTGTTATCTAACCTTGTTTACTCAGGTTCATCTCTTCTTAAGCCAACTTAAGACCACAAGGTAAGTATATGCATCTCACCCATGTGCATGATGATCTCTTACTGATGTACATATTGTTTACAAGAAGGACTCATGAACATGAAGGTACAATTCCCATATCCACATCATTTGCTCTGATGCATATAGCCAATATACATGTAACTCACTGCTTGCTCTATCATAATTATGCATTCACATGCTCCCATATTCCATAGTTTCATGGATGCATACATGTAGGGGGAGCCTATGCATGTTACATGTCTTTAAAAAGCCTTACCTGCTATTCTTTATATATCTCTATCTAAAGCTTTGATGTATGTTGTCATCAATTACCAAAAAGGGGGAGATTGAAAGCACAAGTGCTCCCTGGGTGGTTTTGGTAATTAATGTCAACATATCTCTTATTGGACTAATGTTTTTATCTAGTATATTTCAGATAAGTTCAACAGATGGAGTGGCACGGGCAAGAGGATGTGGAACCCCTTCAAGATGCTAAGGACAAAGGATTGGTTCAAGCTCAAAAGCTCAAGGCTCTACATTTTCAGTTTAATGATCCAAGATTACATTGAGTCCTTAGGAAAGCCAATACTATTAAAAGAGGATGAGGTGTCGCTTAATGGCTTTCTTGCTCTAAGTGCTTAGTGATATGCTCCAAAATCCCTCAACCACTTTCTCATATCCACATATGTCCCAAACCAAAAACCAAACTCGGCACCACCGAAACACTCTATCCGGCGTCACCGAGTTCACTTGACATAGCCACTACCAGAAACCCTAAATCAATTCGGTCTCATCGATGGGATCTCGGTCTCACCGAGATGGGCTTGCAAACTCTCTATTGCATGTTGCAATTATTTCGATCCCACCGAGATAAGCAATCGGTCCCAACGAGTTTGCTTGACCAACTCTCTGTTCTGACTATTACCAAAATCGGTCTCACCGAGTTTGTGTAATCGGTCAAACCGAGATGAGGTTTTACCCTAACCTTAGCACATCGGCTCCACCGAGTTGATCATATCGGTCCCACTGAAAATCCTAACGTTCACATTTTGAACTAAATCGGTCTGACCGAGTTTCATTATTCGGTCCCACCGAGTTTGGTGATTTGTGTGTAACGGTTAGATTTTATGTGGAGGCTATATATACCCCTCCACCCACTCTTCATTCATGAGGAGAGACATCAGAACATGCCTACACTTCCAACATTCATTTTCTAAGAGAGAACCACCTACTCATGTGTTGAGACCAAGATATTCCATTCCAACCATATGAATCTTGATCTCTAGCCTTCTCCAAGTTGCTTTCCAGTCAAATCTTCTTTCCACCAAATCCAAATCAGTGAGAGAGAAGTTGAGTGTTGGGGAGACTGTCATTTGAAGCACAAGAGCAAGGAGTTGATCATCAACACACCGTCTATTACCTTTTGGAGAGTGGTGTCTCCTAGATTGGTTAGGTGTCACTTGGGAGCCTCTGTCAAAATTGTGGAGTTTAACCAAGGAGTTTGTACAGGCAAGGAGATCGCCTACTTCGTGAAGATCTACCCTAGTGAGGCAAGTCCTTCATGGGTGATGGCCATGGTGGGATAGACAAGGTTGCTTCTTCGTGGACCCTTCGTGGGTGGAGCCCTCCGTGGACTTGCGCAACCGTTACCCTTCGTGGGTTGAAATCTCCACCAACGTGGATGTACGATAGCACCACCTATCGGAACCACGCCAAAATCTCTGTGTCTACATTGCGTTTGCTCCCTCCAAACTCCTCCCTTTACCTTCATGTGCAATGTTTTACATTCCGCTGCTATACTCTTAGACTTGCATGTGTAGGTTGATTGCTTAACTAGTGCTAAGTTGCTAAAATCTGCCAAGACTTAAAATTGGGAAAATGCTAGATTTTTATTTGGTCAAGTAGTCTAATCACCCCCTCTAGACACCTCTTCTCGATTCTTTCATTGTTACACTTCAACTACGTAAGTATTGACTAGATTGTAGCATTGCTTGTGCAAATAAACTATCTATAGTGAATAATGCAGCCCAACTTGCAGCTTCAGTCGGTAACTTGTGGTATTATTACTAAAAGTGTTTTGTGCAGGTTTCAACCTTCAGTGTTTATGATGCTAAACTTTAGTTGTAGGACAAAATGCACCTATTTTTGTGATATATGGAATTTGCATGTATTTGGCTGAATAAATATATTATATTACTCTAAACTCTGCATTTCCTTCTTCACTTTCAACAACACTTAATTGTACATTTCAAAGTATTTCGGTCATGGCAAACTAGAGTTCATGGTTTAGCAAGACTCATATTCATCACCTCAGTATTGCAATTTAATTTACCTTGCTTATTTGTTATTTTTTGGATGTTTCAGGAAGACACAAATTTGCAAATAGAACACGCGGAAAAACTCCACTGTAATCCACTAATACGAATAAGGCAATGGATCAGGATGGTGTTTCAAGAATTGAAATCAATTAGGACAACATGGATAAACATATCAAACTCTATTCTTCCCTGCACTGTCATTTGGGATTTTGAATTGGCTTCATGCAGTCCGATTCAAAGAATTTTTGTTTGAATGGTATCGTCATCATTATCTAATGGTTAGAGAAAACGGTGCGGCAAGGCACGCATACCCTTCTAGTACTGTCATTAGTTCGCATATTTTAGTTCGCATATAGAAAAAAATGCCAACATTCACAATGGATCCTTTTTAGTAAAGTTTGACCAACCTTTTAGTTCGCATATAAGATTTGACTAAAGTCAAGCCTCGTAAAGTTTGACCAACTTTATAGAAAAAAGTCCCAACATTCACAATCTGAAATCAATACCACTAGATATGTCATGAGTTAAAGTTTCATATTATATAACTTTAGCATGACAGATGTTGACATTTTTTCATATAAATACGGTCAAATTTTGTGAAGTTTGACTTCAGAGAATTTTAATATGCAGAGTAAAAAGTATGAAGTACTAAAACAAGGACGAGTGATGACAGGTGGGGCCAACAGGGTCCACCTACAAATCTCATTACTGTGGCCCACTTGTCGGCGCCTCAACATCCCTAAATTGTTTTTTAGCTGGACCTCCCAGTGGTTTTGCATAGTGGCTCCAGCTAATGAATGCCCTTCTTCTCTTTCCCCTCACGGCAGAGAAGCTGATCGATCAGAAAAGGTGATCAAATCAAGCCAGTCCGCCAAAAAACAGAACAGCTTTCCACGCGAGGTCGAGAAGCCTCTCGAACCTTCCGGATTCCCTCAAACCCTAGCTTAAACCCTAGCATTCTCGCCCGAATTGGCGCGGCGGCCTCTATGGCTGAAGAGGAGAAGGCGGCGACGGCGGAGGGGGACGAGAAGGAGGACGTGAGCGACGCCGACGACTCGCCCCTCCCGGCGTTGAGGCGTCGCGCGGCGGCGAGCGACGACGACGAGGAGGAGGACGAGGGCGGCGGCGGCGGAGGCGAGGGGAGTGGTTCCTCGCCGCCGTCGAGGGTGGTCGGGTCCGATTCCGATTCCGACTCCGACGAGCTGGGCGCGGCCGAGGTGTACGGCGAAGACGAGGGTTCTGAGGAATGCGAGGAGGTTCGCAAGGAGTTCGACGCAGGATCTGGGGGTGGTGGAGAGGCCGAGGAAGTGGCGCCGGATGAGGTGGCTGCGGCGCCGGAGGACGAGGGGAGGTACGAGGAGGAGGAGGCCCAGGCTGAGACTGGAGCCGAACTGAAAGAAGATGACAAGGAGAATAAGGGGTTCGAGCCCGACGCCGTGCCGAGAACAGGTGCCTTCTACATGCACGATGATCGCTTCCAGAACAAGGAAAACCGCGGCCGCGGGCGCCAGAGGTTCGAGCCTTTCCGTCTTTCACTGGTTGCTTCCTCTTCTGTTATTCACCCGAGGCTCTGTAGTATGCCTCTCTGACTGTACAAGCTAGTCTGAACTCTGAAAGCATGTGCATCGCATTTTAGTTGCAGCAAGGATTGTCGATCAAATTTAAGCCCCCCACATGAAAAATGGGTGCCTTGGTAGGAGCACCTACATGCTTAGAGTGAGTCAACTGTTCCACGGTTGGAGATTGTATGATAAGATCGGGCATTCAAAGGAAACATCGTGTAACACTGTCTAGATGGAACTTGTACAAGTGCTGTTTGTTGTAAGAGCTTAAACAGATAAACTGCTACCTAACTGCATTTTGTTACTCACTGTCATTGACTGCTTGGCACAACTTCTAGAGATTGGTAGAGTTTGAAGTTGGCTCCCTTCTCTATAATTTTTTCCATCTGTATTCACTGCAAATTTTAGCCCATAGTGTCTGCCTGATATATCCATGTTATTAATTCAGGGACTTTTTCGGTGGCCAAAAGTTATGGAATTTTAAAGATGATAGCGTATGGCTGCATGATCGGTTTGATGAGATCAATACCCATGGTGTTCAGCATGACAGTGTGTGTATCACGCCTTTCCCCCCTATCTATTATGTACTACTCCCTCTGTAAACTATATTAGTTTACGGAGGGAGTAGTATTCTTACTGACTCTGTTGATTTGATTTGCTTTGTTTAGACAAGGAGGCCAAGAAGTCCTTTTAGAGCATGGGCTGGTGGTAGAACTCATGACGTTAACCATGATCGGTTTGATGAGATCAATACCCGTTATGTTAAACATGACAGTGTGTGTATCACGCCTTTCCCCCTATCTATTATGTAGTGTTCTTACTGACTTCGCTGATTTGCTTTGCTTTGTTTAGACAAGGAGGCCAAGAAGTCCTTTTAGAGCATGGGCTGGTGGTAGAACTCATGACGTTAACCACGATCAGTCTGATGAGATCAATACCCGTTATGTTCAACATGACAGTGTGTGTATCACGCCTTTCCCCCTATCTATTATGTAGTGTTCTTACTGACTTAGTTGATTTTCTTTGCTTTGTTTAGATAAGGAGGCCAAGAAGTCCTTTTAGAGCATGGGCTGGTGGTAGAACTCATGACATTAACCATGGTTCTCTAGAAAGAACCAAATCCGCATCCTATTATCATGATTACAGAGCAGACTACAAGTATGGGAGTACCAACAACTACAATAGATTCCCAAAAGAGGCCAACATTTCCTATTACAGCGCCAAGAACTACAGAAGTGTTCCAGGAAAATCCCATTCGTACTATGATGAGCAGAACTTTTATAATGCTCGGACAGAATCTCGAATCTGTTATGTGAATGCTAAAGGTTACAACAATGCACCAAATGTTAACAGAGGGAAACCATCAAGGCCCTACCAACCTACCTGGAAGAATACTTTGCAAACCTCTTCAGTGCAAAACAATAGGTAAAGTGTGAATCCATTCCCCACTTCTTAGAGATTGCTAGCTGAATTTAGCATTAACTATGTTGTTGCCTATCCTTCATAGGACATATTCCAGATCACAGAATGAGGAGGGCTGTTCTGATATAGGTGTGGGAAAGAACTCACATCGAACTTTAAGTTTGCAGAATGAACAAGAGTTTTCGTCGAAGCAAGAACCCCCCTTTGTAGAAAGAAGGAAAGCACGACCTGACATTTTAAGTAAGCTCTTCTCATCCTCCGTTCGAATGGCACATAGTTCTCTGAAACCTCAATCTCGTCCCAGTTTTGGACTGAAGGCGTTTGCTCCTTCTGGTGAGCATGGAAATACTGCTGGTTCTCTTAGTATGGTAAAAGGCATGCCTAACCTTGGTTCTCATTCAACTGTATCAACATCAAATAGCCAATATTCAGAATCCAGGGATCAAGGAAGTGGTTTGAACATTGGTGTCCCCACAAAGAACAAACTTTCTGCTCAGATATTCCATCAAAACATTGCCAGTGCCAGCAAAATTCAGTCTCATCCACAAAATACACTGATAAGTTCAACTGAAGATGCAGAGACCAGTCCCCCTCCTGGGTCAAACAATTCTTTAGCACCGTCTGTTATAATAGTGCAAAATGATAAGGTAGAAGCAGTGAGTGGCTCTTTCCCTTGTGGTGGTGGTCATGCTCTTGATGTTACGGGAGCAAAGGACCTTACTCTTGGCACTCCAGCAGTATTGCCAGGTATGTATTGTCAGTTCCCCTCAAAAATAAAAAAAAGGTATGTATTGTTAGTTGGGATACATGACATATATGAATTTAATTATAAAATCGCAACCAGTAGAGCAGTCCAGCCACCCCGTAAAAAAAGTAGAGCAGCCCAACCATTTAAGGTTTGTTCTGACTTGGCACAGAAACTTTCATGCAGTCATGCACTTCACAAAGTGGGGAAATGGCAACGAGATTTGATTTCAACAGGTTTTAAATATTCTAGCATGAATTTGATAACTCAAATAGTTCCTTCTTTACGATTTGGAGATCCAGAAGTGCGTATGGGCCAAGTTTCAACCGTAGCCTAGCTTCTAGAGAACTTTAGGAAATACTACTCTGTGGTCATTCCAGAATAAGGATTAGGTCTAGGTATCATTTTATTTGCAGAGTTGTAGCCTTGCTGGTTCATACCAATTCTTGGTTGGTGTTATGCTAATATATAGGGATTGACTATTCGTCACCCTGGGCGAGGAATAGTTATTCTTCACCCCCCTCTGTTTCAACATTAATGCACCGTAATTTTACTTTCCGTAAATTTTGTCTTATTTTAGACGTAAAAAGAGAACATAAGAAAACATATATATTGTACCTGTCCTTTTCTTCTGAAATGTGTGCATGCTTGAGGCTCTGGTCCTGCACATTCTCTGCTACCCTAACTTTCAACTCCATTTCCTCGGCAGTTATGAAGTTTGGTGAGCAGCATCCTAGGGGACCTGATATCCCATGCACTGGTATGGCTTTCCCAGGACTTTTGGCTCATCAACCCAGTGACAATTCTGAGCTTAATCAAATTACTTGGTATGTGGGATTCAATTTTCATATAGATCTTTCGGAAGAAGTATTGCTTCATTTTTCTGATTGGTATCTTGATATTGAAGCTGCAAACTCCATTTAGCTAACTTCTTCATGAGTACCACAGATATTTCTGATTAGTTGTGGTGCACTCTGCAGGGTTCAGAAACTTGTTATCTTGTTAGTACTATTATTTGGGCGAAGCTGTTTTTTTTAGAAAATGGAAGCTTCATTACCCCCAGCCTCTGCGCCAGCTAAGGATGAATACAACCGAATTATTTCAAATACAATAAAATCGGCAAAAAGAAGAAGAAAAAAAGGACGCCAAGGCATATTGCCAAACGCGATACAAGCCATAGACGAGTCATTTGGGCCAACCTATGTCTCAACTCTCAACAGTCCTACACTACTTGTCCATGCCATGCCATAAATGGATTTTTTTCCTGTAGAAAAATTATCGGACATACAGACAATACTTATCCATGGCGTGCTGAAGGCCTGTCTGTGTTGGGCATGGTATCCACGGATACTGTACGTTCCTGTCATATGCTATCACAGAATAGATGAATATGACAACCATGGGTTCCTAGGAAGAACATCATGGTACTGAACTGGTTGATCACATGGTAGTTACTGGCAAAATTAGTCTGATTCCATTTTGTAGGATCCTCGAATTCGCTGTTAAGATTGGTTGAACATGCTTAATCAGAGCATGTAATATGCTTGAGCTCTTAATCAGTAGCCAGCAATTCTAGTTACATCCATTTTACTATGGTTGGATCGTGTTATCTTATTCTTTGATCTAAACCGGCATTTGATCCCTCTTTGACTTCATTTGCTGAAAATTAGGCTGCAAACATTGTCTGGTGCTACTGGGGTTCTTGGGGCAACACATGATCCTTCTTATATTGGCAGTCATTATCCCCAACTATCAGTATTCCCAAGGTAAAATCCTAACTTCGGTGTCCTTTATGTTGCACGCTTTCAGATATCATGTTCTTACCTTATAGGTGTATGTATATACTTTGCAACAAAGCTAGCTGGTATTTGCCTAACTGCAGTTGTAGTTAAATCAGTTGCAGTCAGAGTTTAGCATCTGAACTCTGAAAAATAATCACCTATAACAGTTACAGTTGTATGTATACTCCTGGTCAGTATTTTTTTTTGGCACACTTTCTGGTCAGGTTGGTGCTAAAGATTTTGGCTATCTTCAATGTAATCACAATTACAGCATGCAGATTATTAGGACACCATAATCTCAGAGCTAGTTTTTCCTATGTCTTCTTACAATCTGGAGCTCAAATTTTCTGGTTACACTGAATTGAATGGCTGGCCTCGACAATTACAAGGTTCTCAACTAGCCTTTCTCTGTACCGTGTTCCCACTGCGAGTCGGACTTTTGCTTTAGCTGCCTTCCTGGGAGTTCCAGTATAAGTCATAAAATAGTAGAAAACGTTTCTGTGTAGGAAGTCGGTAATTTATTTTTTCGAAAAGAGGAAGTCAGTATATGGCTTCATGGATATTGGAAATGGGATGTTGGAGGTTTTTGCGTTTCACCACCTGTTCCATTGATTCTTTTATAGGCATCAATGTACAACACACGAATTTGTGTAACTTTATACCTTGTATCTTGGTGTGTGCATTTCTTTTCTTCATTCCAGTTCTTTGCAGATTCGAGGTTTTGTATCCATGTAGAGTGCCTGCCAACGGCCTGACTATTTCAAGCCAGATCGCATGTTTTACTTGGGAAACTTGCATAGACAAACAAGAACTACAGTGCAGTACAAGAAGGATGAATACCCATTGCTTTATGTTAATTTCTTCTTTTTCCCTGCAGACACCATTGTGTTACTGAAGTTCCTGTTTTGTTGAACTCCCCTGAAATACCAGGTGAAAGAAACCACTCAGTCTCATTGCATATTCTGTATTCTTTTAGTCTTAACTGATGTTTAAATGGTAATTATTCTCTAGATCTTACTTTATAAGTACAACTTATATTTTATCTCTTTACCTTTTTGGTGGAGGTTGTAGGTCATGAGCTTGGCCAGCGCAAGAACAAAGTTCTCAGGTAAGCTCGGATCATGGGAATTAAATAAGGTTTCTGCGTCGTGTTAACACCAAGTAATATGTATTGACATCGCTTATAATTTATCAGATACTCAGAGATGAACTTCGCTTCATGAACATGGTAAGTTTGTGACAACCAAAGCTCACAGGACCAGCTTTCAGTCCGTATCAGAAGTAACTACCGCATTCTGCATTGTATTGCTACAGCTGTCAATTATAGCGCACAGTTCAGTACTTTCTAAGTCCAAGCCCTGAGCTCCTTGTTTTTTCCTCCTGAAGCACTTTGTCACTGTAACAAAATACACCAGGTATGCCCACTTTGCGGCTTCCGAGTAGATCTTGGAAAAAGATGCTGCCCTCTTCGTTATTGACAGCACTTAATTGCATTGACTTGTGAATCTAGGTTTTGTTATAGTACTCCCTCCGGTCCTTTTTACTCTGCATATTAGAATTCTCTGAAGTCAAACTTCACAGAGTTTGACCGTATTTATATAAAAAAATATCAACATATGCCATGCTACAGTCATACAATATGAAACTTTAAGTCATGACACATCTATTGATATTGATTTCAGATTGTGAATGTTGGTACTTTTTTCTATAAAGTTGGTCAAACTTTATGAGGCTTGACTTCAGTCAAATCTTATATGCGAACTAAAAAGGACCGGAGGGAGTAACACATAGGCTTTGGACGATGTGTTCACTGTTTCTAGGCAATTGGCACTTTGACTGCCATGGGAGGAAGTTCTCCCCTTTGCTGTTTGTACAACTGTATATTCATATTCTATTTTGGTTTCATTGGAACCACCAACCTATTTGGTTGCAAAATTCTGCCATGAGTTGGCTAGCATCTCATTCTTCTTGAACTGCCTTGGGTTCAGCAATCACTAGGAAACAGAGAGCAACCTTTATATACTCTTAAGATGTATTGTGATTTTTCATTGTTTGTTCAATCATGTGTGTGGCATGTACAAGTCTAAATTAGGTTATACGATTCGTGGGTGTAAATGTGTAATGTTGCTGCTCGATGTAATCTTGGCAGGTTGGACTGTTTAAGTAAGCAAGTCCTTTTGCTATAGTCCCGTCTCCTGTGCACTGGCCTGCTCCTTCTGCTGGGTCTGGTATTCCATTATAACTACATGCCAGTATGTTTTTTCTTGTTTGTCATTTTTCCTCATGGACATGCCACTATTGATTGCTTATGACCTTGGCAGATCTCTCAGCATGATGATCCCAAGGTGGCAGTTCCGGTCCGTGAACTCTTGCTCCTGGCCAAGAGGAGTAACTTTGCCTCTGCTCTGCTCTTCTCTCCGTAGTAATTTCCGGTTGATTTGATCGTTTTGTCAGCATGGCCTTGGTTTGATATTTCCTCTAACCAACCGCAAACCATATCGCTTCTCACTATTAGTAGTAGCATGTTGACTCCTAGTTGGTGGTTAGCCATGTCTTCGTACTCTTTTTGACGGAACTCGGTGTAGATTATTTTGTATGCTGCTTATACTTCTGTTCTTATGTGCTGCTAGGACATAGTTAAACCCAGCCTTGTAGTCAGAGAGGAGAGCCATATGATTCCTGTCCGTTGGATGATTTGGATCAGTTGTTCGTGTCTGGTGAACATCTGGTTGCAAGCACGGCCCACATAGATAGATTCCCTCTGCAGAAAACGGGCAAGGCAGAAGGACATGTCCTCTTCATCCTAGTTCAGTAGTTCGGCTCCAAACATGAAAACATGATCGTGGTTAGGACATGGGCCCTGGCTGTGCGCACTTGAGCTTGTGAGTTGGTCACAAGCAGCAGTCTATCTGGCTATCTCTGCCGGGAGTGGTGTTCATTTACATGCCGGCAGGGAATCCGGAACACCCACCAAGCCTAGATCGCAGCTCATCCCTGGTTGCCCGCCCGCCCGCATGACTATCCGAAGCGACAGAACAATGTCTTTTCCCGTGCATACGATGGATGGACACTCTTGACAGAAAGAGCCAACCACACACTATGGTGCTCCTCTGCTTTTTCTGCGGTCTCGTTTCCTCGGGTAAGTTTTGGGCACACGTGGTATGGTTCTCGGCCGTCCGCGAGACACACATCACTCTCACACCATCGGCTCATCATCGCACATCGTTTCGGTTTAACTAAAGCAAACATTTCTGGTGAAACGTCTCTACGTTTCATGTCGCAGTGAGCAGATAGTACCGGGCACCTAGAGTGCTGGCTAGGGTGGCCCAGGCAGGCATGGAGAGTGGCGGAAGGTACTGAAAACTTGTCACAGATCGTGTTGGCTTCATATAATTCGGGCATCGATCCAGAACGAGGCAAGGGGCAAACGGTACACCCCGTCCCTCTCGGGCAAGCGTACGGCCTCACCTGCGCCCCCAGCCCAGCGAGCCAATAATGCCGCGCTGGCCGGGCCCGCCTGCCATGCCTGTCCGTCGGGCCACTGCCTTGCAGATAGATAGATGCGCACACACAGACATTCGCGCGCCGAGCAGGCAGGTAAATCGCGGAGGCCCACCACTAGATTCTCCGCTCACTGGATCAAAGCTGGAGGCGATTAAGATGTTGCGCGTAGCCATCTGCAGATATGACGGATTAATCAATCAATCAATCCATCTCTTGGAGCGCATTATGCTAGCTTTCGGCAAGTAGAAAGGTGACAGCGCCATACAACACGAGATGGTAGCGGCACCGAGAGATTCTTCTCCCTCGAGTTAGTACCGCCGGCAAAAGATGAACGCTTGAATACTTAGTACTAGTACATCCGTTTTCTCATGAACACGCAGAGGAGTGCGTTGATGCAGTCACTTGGAATTAGTCCGCATTTTACCAAACGAGCTGAGCAAGAACGCCGTAGGATTTTTCAAATTTGCATAGATATAGCGGCAATTGGCCAAAAAATTAAAAGGTCGTCGTGGTCTGCAAGGAAGAGATGCACTGTGGCATGCGTCAACTAAGGCGACCAGAGCCTATTCTATACCCTTGAGCGCCCTTGTTTAAAAATGTGGTGTCTCTTGGGCGCAAGGGCAAGGCGGATATGGTTTTATATGGTAATAATCGTCGCGGTCTTGCTTGTGCATGTACGTATATATGCTCACGTTGCAGCGCATATATATTCCCCACCCACCGAAGGGAAAGCTACAAACATACACTATACACACTATACACACTGATCGCCGATGTGCACAAGTGAAAGACACGTATGTGTCAGCCTGTGAACCCTGACGTGTTTAACCTAACTTTTCCCTGTTTTCAGTTGCTTGTACATGCTTTTTGATCTTCCGAAAAGGAGGGCTTTCGGTTACCTGTGTGTACGTGAAAGGCCATCCAGCCTCTCATTGGCACGATGCATGATTGGCTCCTTCTATTCTATGGTTATGCTTTCAGCTCAGTTTGTAGTGTATGTACGTACGCATACATGGGCATCGCGATGTGCGTGTGTTCCAAAACGCATGATTCCACGAGTGGTAGCGCCAATAAGCAAGCACATTGTCACATGGAGGGCTGGCCAGCTTGTCTGTCCCCTTGTCAAACCGGCTCATGACTCTGTCTTGCACCGAAACAAAAGCTATGATTGTATTCAATTTCAACATCGGGAGCTGCTTCAGACTTTTGAGCTAACATATAGCCCACTTTTTTTATACTGCCCGACGCTGCTGCTTATATGCATATATATTCTCATCCCTTTGCCTCATTCCAAGCGCTTGGCTTTGCTTTGGTAGGTCTGCTCGCTCACCAGCTTGTCTCTTCTTCCTCGTCGCCTTAAAAGGGCCTCTGCGCTTTGCAGTGCGCTTTTCACTTCAGAGCCTCACTTCTCAGAGACTTCGGAGAGAAGCCGTGGTGAGATAGAGATAGAGATAGAGATAGAGATAGAGGGAGGAGAGGATGGGGAGGAAGCTAGGGCTGGAGAGGGTGCTGGACTGCTTCTCGCTCTCGGTGTGCGCCAACGCCTGCGTCTGCGTGCACGCGGTGGAGGACGAGGACGAGGAGAACGAGGGGAAGGCCCTGGTGAGCGCGCAGCTGGACGAGCTGCTCAAGCTCAAGGACTTCGGCGGTGGGGCTAAGACTCTTGCCTTCCATCTGGAGCCAAAGGTAAACAAGAATTAACTAACGCCCGTTCTATCTCTCTATCTAAGACGCCTCTGCACAACATGCTGTGGACACTGCTAATATTCACTATGGATGCAGACAGTGGAGCTGAGGGTGTCCATGCACTGCTACGGATGCGCCAGGAAAGTTCAGAAGCACATCTCCAAGATGGAAGGTACGAGGCGAATAGTAACTGAACCTTTAAATCCCCTTTTCGGGGCAGTGTTGAGATTCTTTTGATAGGGCATAGCGCTAAAAGCATACAATCATGCTGGGGTACTTGTTATCGTAAAGTTCCTATCATTTGACTCCAAACAAAAAAGGAATTGCAGAGTTATACAACTGATCTGTCCGTAAGCTTTGCTAATTATTCGCCAGAGGGACAACTTGACAGCTTGTTTTTTTTTTCCTTCCTTGATTATCTCACTGCAATTGCTTTCGAACCTGCACAGCACACAGCAGATCTCTGCCTCGTGTCTTACTCTAAGTTTATCTTCCCTTTCAACACCACCTCTCAATGTGTTGATAATTCGGACATAGCCAAGTGTGCATTTCTTACTGCTGCTAGTATCATTTGATAAAAAAAAGCAGAGCGTCCATTTCTTATTAGTGGGGCGGGGCATTAGTATATCCAGGATCTCGAAGTAATCAACGACTGTGAAATGTGGCGCGGATCTGTAGACCGGATAATTTTTCAAAGTAGAGTAGCGCCGTAGCCAGCCACCACATGGGCGGGCGGAGCGCAACGTCTCAGAAGCCCAGAAGCATTTGCAGCAGAGATAAGTCGCGGCCTGTCAGACGCAGGAAGAGAAAAATGTATGCCCTGCGGCAGGTTGACCTCTGTGCGCCTCCAGTCATTCATTTCAAAATTTCAATACAACAAGTGAAAGAAAACCCCAAATTTCTACTCTGCTCTGCTCTGCCGCACGCGTTGCCGGGCTAATGGCGAACAGTGAACGCAGCCACGCGGCCATGAGCTCCGGAAAGCTTTTAGGTTAGTAGTACGCCAGTACTGTTGTGGCATGTTACGGAATAAAACACAGGTCACCGACTCGCCGCAGCCGGTGGACTCGCGGGTGGGCGTCGATCCACCTCCGTTCGGCCCTGTGCGCCTGAGTTGGCTCCGGTGTCGTTTCGGCCGCGCGCCGATGCATGCAGCATGGATCGGGCTCCTTCCGTTCGCGCGGCCGCTGCGGCGCTGCGGTACTGCATGATACTGCATGCTTGGGCGCATCTGCACATGTTGCTACTCTGCGCATGTGCAGGGCTGCCTGCCTTTTCTGGAAAAACTTTTGGTGGCACCGCCAGTCGGTGCCCAAGATTTGGTACTACCTCCGTCCCGGTGTATAAGTCATTCACGTAGTTTTAGGTCAACAATTTAACTATCTAAATATGTATTATATGTGACAAAAAATATATATTTAGAAACTACATCTGTGTAGAAATCTAGTGATATACTTTTCATGACATATAACACATATTTAATTCCTTAAATCGATGACCTAGAACTACGCGAATGACTTATACACCGAGACGGAGGTAGTACTACTGCTACTGCTGCCGCGCTCATAATTGAGCTGCCACCACCTTCACCGTACGGCTCACTGTCGGAGCATCTGCGTCGATAGATATTATCATATCAGTTCAGTGAAAATATGTTGATTTACGAGTCAGAGTACTGGACGAGCGATCATTTTAACATTTTGCTTCTGTTCTTGTGTGTCCAGGTGTGTCGTCGTTTGAGGTGGATTTGGAGAACAAGAAGGTGGTGGTGACGGGGGACGTGACGCCCTATGAGGTGCTGCAGAGCGTCTCCAAGGTGATGAAGTTTGCGGAGCTGTTGGTGGCCCCCAAGTCCCCGGCTCCGAGTAGATAGACGATGATGATGATAAGCTGATAGGGTGGGTGTGACACATTTCACTGATGATAAAACCAAATATATATGCCATGATTGTCACGCATGGCACGCGTACGTGGCAGCACACGCAAGCATGGCAAGGAAGAAACTATTGGAAGATTGTAACTAGGAGATCAAGGAAAAAGAGGATGGTTTGGGTCTAATTGATTGATCTACTCAAAAGAAAAAAGAAAAACAGCCCATCCATACATGCATCATGCTTTTTTTTGCATGATAACACGTGTCTCATTTATATCATAAAGAACAAAGTACAAGTCACGTAAGAATCGACATGACAAAACTGAAAAGATAGCAAAATATCTCTGAGCTTGACACCAACGCCCATCACCTGTCTCCGGCACCACCACAACAGCCACCGAAAAAAAGAATCACGGATCACCTCCTCACCCGAGCTTGACGTGGCTCCATCGTTGAAATGCAGCTTTGCGGACCTCTAAGGTGGCTCACCAAGAGTGAAGCCTTTGCCGTTGAACCAATCAGACCGGGACAACACTCCGAACACACAATCGAACTTCAGATCTGGCACCCCACCACGACTAAGACGCCGAAGGAGGAAACCATATCTGCCATCCACGAACCACGAACCCAGCACACGTTTTCGTCTTCCAGATGTCGTCGATGCAGACTATAATCTGCATCCGCTCCTGGACTACCTCCCAAACTCCACATCGACGCTGGAGTAAACGTCGTCGCAACGGTGGAACCCGAGGACACAGATCCACCACGAGAATGATGTCGCCGCCACGCCATCCTTGCTAACCTAGACTACATGAGAGTAAAAACCATCCACGTGCACCATGCTTTAGCGGTTCTGTTTTGGACCATTACGTACGTATGGGTGGTGTTTTTTTGAACATCAGTAGGCATCTCTTGTACGTAACGCGTCCCCTTGGATTTGGATTGTACTCCCTCCGTAAACTCCCTCCGTAAACTAATATAACAGCGTTTAGATCATTTAATGCAAGAAGTATAATGCAAGGGCATCCGGATCCGGGGGAAATAAAATGTAGTACGGCTCGCACCCAAGGTTGGACCGTGTGCTGTGCTGGGAGAAAAGAACGTTGCTTGGAGCGAAGCCATGCAGGAAGGCAGGATGTTTTAACGTTGCACGACACAAAAAGAGAGCGGTTGCTAGATCGGTTGGGAGAGTCCCTATTGAACGCCCGTGTGCGTCAAGGAGCTGTGGCTTCGCACAGGGTAATCCAACTTGGCCGGCCCATTTACAGTTTAACGAAAAAAACACAATGTAGAGACAATGTAGTGAATGATACTGTACATCCGTTACTCAAAAAATATACTCCCTCCGTTCCTAAATATTTATCTTTTCAGAGATTTTAATAAGTGACTACATACGAAGCAAAATGAGTGAATCTACACTCTAAGATATGTCTATATACATCCGCATGTGGTAGTCCATTTGAAATGTCTAAAAAGACAAATATTTAGGAACAAAGGGAGTACTTAACTGGTGTCATGGTTTTTTTCTGCTTGGTTTTTATTTCCAATAATTTATGAAAATATGAATATATACGTTGAACAAATTCTGAATACACATTGAACATTTGTAATATACATTGAACAATTTTTTAGAAAGTAAGAAATTTTGTAAAAAAAAATGCTGAACAAATTCAAATACACAATGAACATTTTGTAGTATATGTTGAACAATTTCTTAATATACCATGAACAAATTTGAAATACTGTCACACCCTAGCTAGTCCATGCATTAGAGTGTGCATCATATTTCCTTTTCATCAGAAACTTGAAATGGGGAAGGCAGAACCCCCAGCACCCTTTTGAAATCAACTAGGGTTTACTAAAAATAATTTCAATGAACCTGAAATGACCATCTAAAATGTCCACCCTCTTTGTCTTAGGTTAGAACCTCTGGCAAAATTGGTGCACAATTTTTTAGGTCAACAGAAGGTCATTGAATTAAATCATAAGTATTTGAATTTGGGCATTTAAATGCTATAAAATAATTTAAATGCTCAAATAATTCTGGGAGTAAATGTTTCCTGTTGGAAATAATCTAAACAGAGGTCACATTTATTTTCAGGATTTTTGGAAATGTTTTAGTATTTTTAATAAAGCCCAACAGTTGCAGTTAAATAGAAAAACAGAAACAAAAAAAGGAGAAAGAAGCCCACCTGGGCCTTACCTGGCTCGGCCCAGCCGACTGGCCAGCGCCAGTCACCCCCTACCTCACGCCAGGAGGCAGGGGCGCGTGCTCGCCGCGCGCCGGCCACGCGCTGGCCACCTCCTGCTTCTGCCGACGCCGGAAGACGCCCAGAGGACGCCACGCGACCCCCACATCTCTCTCTCATCCTCTCTCACTCTCCCCCTCGTCTCCCTCATCCTCTCCCGCGATGGCCGAGCGCGTCCCTCGCCGCCGATCGCCGTAGTCGCCGCCAGAGACCTCCCCTCGCCCCTCCGACGAGCCCATCAGCTCCGCCTCGACTCCCTCGACCTCCCCACCGAGCCACGCTTCGCCGGAAGCCCTACAACGCCGCCTTCGCCCTCGTCTTCAACCTCGGGCATCCGAGATCGCCGGCGACCGCACCTCTTCTCCAGCCCGTCCCCGAGCCCGCTAACCCCCTCTCCGACCCCCCTGTGAGCTCCTCTTCCTTTCCCCTCTTCTCTCGTGCTCGCGCTCGTCCCCTAGCTCCATTTTCCACCGCGGCCGAGAGCTTCTCGCCGCCGGCCATGGCGCAGCCGTGGCCACAGCCGTGCAAGCTCACAACGGAGCGCCTCACCGTGCTCAGTGCAGCACCAGGAACCCGTAGCCACCACCAGCTCTTCCTCCCGTGCACCGTAGCGTCGAAACCGACCTCGCCCAAACTCCGGCCGCCGCCACGAGCTCGATTCCGGCGAGCTCGCTCCACCCCAGCTCCTCACACTTGCTCCATTGGATGCGCGAGAGCCTGGGCTTCGCACGGGTGGTCTCCGTGGTCGATTTGGTCGCCGGAGGGCGTTTTCCGAGCCGCGCCGCCGTCTCGGGCCTCGCCGGCGTCGAGCCGCCGGCGAGTTGACCCAGTTTGACCCCTGGGTGGGCCCAGGTTGACTCCTTTGAGTCAATAAAAAGTGGGGCCCCCCTCTGCTAATTATCCAGATTAGTTTCTAACTAAAATTAGTTAGTTTTATTAGTATAGTCTCTGACTAGTGGGCCCTGCCCAGCAATTAGGCTAACTAAACGTAGTTAGTGCACTGAGAGGCTGACAGAAGGGGCCCACCAGTCAGGTTTGACCTGGGCTGGCGCCTTTGACCCGCTGAGGTCAGCATGACGCAATGCTGACGCAATAATGCATTTTCTGGAATTATTTTTATTCAGGAAATTCCAGAAAATGTTGGTCCGATGAATATTGAGGCTCGATGTATGTGGAAATCATACATACAGATGACTTAAGCAGATATGGGTATATCTACTTAATGAGGCTCTGATGAATATTGAGGCTCGTGGCGGATATCGTTATTTTCTCACCTTCACAGATGACTTAAGCAGATATGGGTATATCTACTTAATGAAACATAAGTCTGAAACGTTTGAAAAGTTCAAAGAATTTCAGAGTGAAGTTGAAAATCATCGTAACAAGAAAATAAAGTTTCTACGATCTGATCATGGAGGAGAATATTTGAGTTACGAGTTTGGTGTACATTTGAAACAATGCGGAATAGTTTCGCAACTCACGCCACCCGGAACACCACAGCGTAATGGTGTGTCCGAACGTCGTAATCGTACTTTACTAGATATGGTGCGATCTATGATGTCTCTTACTGATTTACCGCTATTGTTTTGGGGTTATGCTTTGGAGACGGCCGCATTCACGTTAAATAGGGCACCATCAAAATCCGTTGAGACGACGCCTTATGAACTATGGTTTGGCAAGAAACCAAAGTTGTCGTTTCTGAAAGTTTGGGGCTGCGATGCTTATGTGAAAAAGCTTCAACCTGATAAGCTCGAACCCAAATCGGAGAAATGTGTCTTCATAGGATATCCAAAGGAGACTATTCGATACACCTTCTATCATAGATCCGAAGGCAAGACTTTTGTTGCTAAGTTTGGAAACTTTCTAGAGAAGGAGTTTCTCTCGAAAGAAGTGAGTGGGAGGAAAGTAGAACTTGACGAGGTAACTGTACCTGCTCCCTTATTGGAAAGTAGTGCATCACAGAAAACTGTTTCTGTGACACCTACACCAATTAGTGAGGAAGCTAATGACAATGATCATGAAACTTTAGAACAAGATACTACTGAACCTCGTAGATCAACCAGAGTGAGATCCGCGCCAGAATGGTACGGTAATCCAGTTCTGGAAGTCATGCTACTAGATCATGATGAACCTACGAACTATGAAGAAGCGATGGTGAGCCCAGATTCCGCAAAATGGCTTGAAGCCATGAAATCTGAGATGGGATCCATGTATGAGAACGAAGTGTGGACTTTGGTTGACTTTCCCAATGATCGGCAAGCAATTGAGAATAAATGGATCTTCAAGAAGAAGACTGACACCGACGGTAATATTACTGTCTACAAAGCTCGACTTGTCACAAAAGGGTTTCGGCAAGTTCAAGGGGTTGACTATGATGAGACCTTCTCACCCGTAGCAATGCTTAAGTCTGTCCGAATCATGTTAGCAATTGCCGCATTTTATGATTATGAAATTTGGCAGATGGATGTCAAAACTGCATTCCTGAATGGATTTCTGGAAGAAGAGTTGTATATGATACAACCGGAAGGTTTTGTCGATCCAAAGGGAGCTAACAAAGTGTGCAAGCTCCAGCGATCCATTTATGGACTGGTGCAAGCCTCTCGGAGTTGGAATAAACGCTTTGATAGTGTGATCAAAGCATTTGGTTTTATACAGACTTTTGGAGAAGCCTGTATTTATAAGAAAGTGAGTGGGAGCTCTATAGCATTTCTGATATTATATGTGGATGACATATTACTGATCGGAAATGAT